ATTTAGGTGTGTAACTATAACCATACTCAAATTAGATGCTCTTTGCCTGTTCAGTATAAATTTTCTTAGAGTTATATTTATAAGCACTTTGGAAGAACTTATACCAAAATGGAATTTTTAAATTTAGTAAAAGTCAATAATTTTAAAGGTTGAATTTATTGATTCATAAATGTCATTTTATAAATTTGATTTAGAGTTCAATCTTTAAAGTCAACACTTAAAAATATTAATTTTTTTAAATTTATTAAACTAATATTAATATACCCTTTTAAGATCATTTAAAAAAAAATTTATCTCAACATACATAAAAATTGATTTAGATTTACTTTTGACCATACATTAAAAAAAGAAAAAAGAAAGAAAAAAGAGAGAAAAAAAAGTTCAAATTGCACTAATAATGCATTCTTATAATAATTTTTTCTTTTTCAAATTATATTGAATATAAGAAGTGAATTCTCAACGAGTAATATTAGAGTTGCGGAACAAGTGACACCAGCACTAAGGTAAATTTTTAGTTGAAAATGATTATGAGATAAAATTTGGTAATAAATTTTTTATTATATAATATTATATGTTATTTAATAATTAATTTTTATATAATTTATTAAAATTTTTAATATTATATGTTTTATTTATCTAATATTACTCCCTAAAATAATTGTTATTTGTGTTGAATTTTTTAAATTAAATTTTGAAAACAATTTATATAATTATTTATATTAATTTTTTAAAAATAAAAAATAAAATTTTATAATAAAATAATTAATTAAAATAAATAAATAATAATAAAATTAAACTAATTTAAAATAAATTTAAAATTAAAAAATAATAATTATTTTTATTATTATTATTATTTTTTTGAACAAATGATCATGGGACAGGCCGAACCCACCCAAGGGGAGGGGGATGCACTTTTTGTTGTGGCAGTTGCCACTAGGCCCAAAAACTAGGTGAAAAAAAATAATTATTATTTTGAAATAAAAAATTATTAATAATATATATAAATTATATAAAACAAAATTATCTCCTTATAATTACTATAGGCTATACAAAAATGGGTGAATACGGAGGATGGTGGGTTGTGGTAAGGCAAATGCTATGGTACAAGAGAGGCGGCTGAGAAAAGACAACTGGGACAAAGGTTCTGGAAAGGGCACAATACGTGGGACCCTTTTTGAAAATCAACTAACAGACCATGTACCATGAATCTGTAGGCATCACTGCTTGCCTAACCAATTAGTCAAAATCAACATTGATGATGGATTCGGTTCTTTTTATTTTTCCATTTTATTTCGATTTTTTTTTTTTTGTCATCCTTAATCCTTTTTCCTTTCCAATTGGCGGGTTGTTAGGAGGACCACTAAGAACCCGGCAGCTCTCAATAACCCATTTTTGTGTCAGATGTTTAGATGACAAAAACTTGTTTAAAAAAGTTAAAATATACTTATTGCCCATCTACATCACCAGCGAGTACTATTACGTCTAGCAAGACAACAAATGATAATTCTTACTCTAATGTAAATGGTCTTTTTTTTTAATCTGATTATAAAATTAAAGTTTATTTGACATATAAATATTGATATTAATTTAATGAGGATGCTGTTTTTTAGGATGTCCTGGAAAACAGTTTTCTGTAATTTAATTAGTGAATTGAATAGTATGAACGGAAAAGGAATGTGTATGAAGCATCAAGGAAGGTGCAGATGAGTGAACTTTGGTTCCCTTTCATGAAAATTTTATATTTAATGGGAGGAAAAAAAGAGGAAAAAGTCAGTGAGTTTAGTGCTTTTAGGTTTCCAAAACCAAGTGCAATATCAATTCCCCAAATCAGTAGTTTGATTTTTCTAATTTGGGAGGAATACGTCTAAAAGGAAATTAGATTTCCTATCCCAAATGGGTCTTTCCAGTTTCCAAGAAGCTTCATATGAAAATGTTGAAATTCAAAGATTCCTCCAAGGCCTCATTTTTTATAAAAAAAAAAATGGAGGTTTGTTTGGATGATGGAATTAGCAAGAAGACAAACAGTATCCATTGTTTTTGGAAGACTTTCAAAGTTTCAACAATTAATCTTGATCTGATCTCCTGGTTTTGGTGACTTTGAAAATATTCCGCGAGCTTCAAGGGGGCTTGCACCTAGACGTTTCAATGCCATGAAAATTCAAATTGCGATTGATATACTACTTTGCTTTGTTTGGTATATAGATAGACTAAGCCTAGCAGGATAATGATTTTGATTCAATTTATGGTATATAAACTAAGTCTGCTCAGTACTTATTCCGCGTAACTTCTAAAGTAAATTCTGGATTATAGAAAGTGAAAATAAACCAAATAAAAATATTTTAAAAAGAATTTTCTTTAGATGTATTAGTTTAATATAAAAAATGTGTTTTTAAAATTGTTAAAAAATTAATAAAAAATATTAAAACCTCGCATGAGGACACTACTAAAAAAAACAGTGCTACTTTATTTCAAAAGAAGTTTCATTTAAATTTTTTTATAGGATGTTTCATTTATAATATTTATAAAAAATTAGTGTATATTAGTCTCAATTTTAAAAAAAGTTAGAGTCTAACTTATATTTAGAAAGTAAAATTTTAATTTAAAATTTAAAAATTTAATCAGTTTTTAATTCTAAATGTTAATAGTTAATAAGATAGATTTTTAAATTTTAAATTAAATTTTAATTAAATAAAATAACGTAATTAAAAGTTAAATCTCTAATTTTTTTTTAAAATCGAGACTGATACATATTTTTTCTTATTTATAAAGAGATTTGAAAATATAATTTCTTCTACAAAAATTGAAATTGGGCTAAACCCACTTTTTTAAGGGTTATTTTGAATTTGAAATTTATTTTTATCAATTTAAAAAAATTTTATAATTATTTTGTATGAATTCATAATTCAATACCTATGCCAAATATATAAATAATTAAATATAATTTTTTTAAAAAAATTTGTAATGAAGTATATCAACTTTTAAAATTACTCATGTTATTTACTACAAAAATTTATTTATTATACAACACTTTTACAAAAAAAAAGAAAAAGAAAAAAGAAGCAGTTCAGTTAGTAAACTTTAACCCTTGACTATTCTTAGGACTGAGGTGTCACTTTCAACTTGAGTGAGGAGATTGAAGAGTGCGGACCACGCTAGAACGTAGATTGAAGGGTGTCTTGATTTGCAATGGCAGCAATTTCGGATTATTGAATTATCATTTCACATGAATCCCGTTATTTTATCAATAAAAGTTGTTAGGAGGAGACGTGAAGAAACTGCAATTAACAACATGACCATCTATGGAGTTTTCTTTCCCCTAATTAATTAATCCCTTTATTGAGGAATATGATTTGGAGGTCGAAATTTTTTAATCAAATTATAGAGAACTAGATTTTAAGTCTGTATTTACCCTAGCGCCAGTGTGTTGCCCGTGCGTTGTATGTCATAATGTGTATCAAACTTAATAATGTGTCTATTAGGCATTAGCAATGATAGATTATCTTGACTTGATCATGGAATTGAGTGGTGAATTTGTTTATTAACAAATGAAGAAGGTAGATTAGATCAATGAAAAGGGATTTGATTTCCCTCCGTGACTGGCGTTAGCAACTCTAATTTTTCATCTTTGAAAATTCAGAGAAAATATGAACTCAGTTTCACAATAGAACTAAAGAGAAGTGCTAGTTGGCTGGGTGCAGCTGCACTACTCTCTTTATTGGCTAAAATTTTTTTTGTTTTTATTTTAAATATATATATATACTTTTTACCAATGGGGAGCATAGTGCTACACCACTTCGCAGTCTGCTGAGTGCATTTAACACTTCTCTAAAACTGAAATCCTTTATCCTCTCGAAAGAACATTAGAAAATCATAAAATAATCATCTCAACAATTTGGGTTTTCTGGTTTTATGTAGAGTGAAGACTCGTACTTGAAAATGAAGCAAGGTTAGAGATAGTGCTTATCATTTTCAGCACACAGCCCCAATTCATTGAACTCTCTCCTAAATATTGAATATGTACTGCAAAACTACTAGAGCATTCACATGTTTCATTTTTTTCATTCACATGTTTCATTTTTTTCATGGAAGTTTAGTTACACAATAATTGTGAAGGTTTGAGTCCAATTCTTGACCTTAATCTATTTTTTTTATTGGTTATGTTCAAAATCAGATAAACACTTGTTAACACTAAGCATTAATGTAGTGAAATCATATTTATAATATTTTTGAACTGAGAGTTTTCATTTCATTTATGAAATTTTTATTTGCAAATTTTTTTTATTTCATTTCAAAATATTTCTCAAAAATTACAGAATATTTAACGGTTATTCAACTGCCCCGAAGTTGTCAACATCATCCCACGTGGAATGACAAGTGGGCAAATGTAATGGGCCATTGGGCAAAAACAAAACTGAGATCATAGGCTGACGTTGTTCCAAATGTCCTTATGACCAGGCCGCCATGCTTAATTGACCCACGTGTTCAATTAACCATTCCTCTTTTCCTCCTTGATACTCAACCCCTATATACCACTAACATGAATTAGAATAATGCCAACTCACCCTCCATCCTCATTTCCATCCAATTTCCTCATTTGCCTGAATATGATTGGACAAATATAATATCAACATACAATAAGTCATGTAATTTGATAATAAAATTATTTATATTTTTAATTATAAGTTTAAAATTTTAATTTTAATATTTATATATGAAAAAATATAATATTTAGATTAAGATCAACTTATATATTGGTTGGTATAATTATTATATTATTTTTAGTTATTTATTTTAAGATTTTAATAATTAAAGTAATATTTAAAATTTTATAATAATTTATTAAATTTTAAAATATGTAATTAAATATTTAAGTAAAATTCTTAAAATTATATTTGTATAAGTTGATTGTGACTTTATATTATTTTTATGTTTTTTTTAAACTTAGCTATCTCTCCCTCCTTTGGGTATATAAATAGAGCCAATGGCTTGGGCTTTTCTCTGCCTCCAACACACAAACAGAGTCAAAAACAGAGGAGTCTCAAACCCAACGAAAATCCTAATGGATCCCTTCATCTTCTACTCTACAAATTCAAACTCCTCCTCGGAATCGTCTTTTGGGTCACCGGAGTTCCTTCCTTTCTCCCAAAATTATCTTCCTTTCAATGAAAATGACTCCGAGGAAATGCTTTTGTACGGCCTAATAGCAGAGGCCTCCCAGGGAACAACAAAATCAACATACCCCAATCGGGTAAAGGAAGAAGAGGTTACTTCAGTGGAAAAGCAAGAGAATCCCAAGAAGGAAAAGTCATATAGAGGGGTGAGGAGGCGACCGTGGGGGAAATTCGCGGCGGAAATAAGGGATTCCACCAGGCATGGCATAAGGGTATGGTTGGGGACATTTGACAGTGCGGAGGCGGCAGCTTTGGCCTATGATCAAGCCGCCTTTTCAATGAGGGGTTCATCGGCGGTGCTCAATTTTCCAGTAGAAAGAGTGCAAGAATCTCTCCGAGAGATGAAGTGCGGCCAGGAGGAGGGTTGCTCGCCGGTGGTGGCGTTGAAGAGGAAGCACTCCATGAGAAGGAAAATGATAAGCAGACGAAAGAAAGAGGTGGACGTGAGGATAGAGAATGTGGTGGTGTTTGAGGATTTGGGTGCGGATTATTTAGAAGAACTTTTAAGTACATCATAAGACTACCAGTCCTTGGTGAACCAACCGTACTTAGTTCAGTTTTTCTTTCTTTTTAATATCCCACTTTCTTTTCTTCTTTGTGTTGTTGCTTTGTTTGTTTGTTTTTTTCTTTTTTCCTTTTTTGCAATGTAAGGTTTGTGGGAAGTTTCACATTTTTATATTTTTAAATGTGAATCCTCTCCCTTTTGCCTTACGTATATGTAAATATAGTTTGAAGAAACTAGAAATTGAAGAATGCAATAAATGATTATATTATCTAGTATTACTGTAAGTTTACGTAAAACTTTTTAAAATCTCAACAGTTTATTTTTAATCACTAAAATGTTTTGTAATGATTTACTTTTTAAGTAAATGGATAATGTATTAGCATAAACCCAAAGAGCACTCAAAATTGATTCTAACATCATAAATTTAACCACTTGAACTTTGGCCTACTCAAAAGAGCATGAAACCCTCGTTAAAGTTAAAAGTTAAACTGAATTTTTACACGATAGGACTCAAGCCTAAGGTACTAGGGTCTTCAACTTTAACCACCAAGCCACACCTGCTTTACGTATATGGTTCTAGTTTGTGTAGTAAACTCCCAACTTATTGTATTGTGAGTTCCTTTTTATATAAACTTGCACCACCAAAAATACTAAGGTGGTGTTTGTTTACAGTGAAAGTATAAGAGTTTATAAGAATATAATGACAAGAGAATGTCTTGTCCAAATTGAAATTGATAAAATGCTCTTTTATTAAGATACATAAGTTTCTTTTTCAATTTGAACTGTCACATATTTAGAGCCGAAATTGATGGATCTTAAAATATTAAGAGACGTGGAAATAGAGATGGAAAGGTCTATACCTCAATCATTTTGAATACCATGTCTTTTGGTCTAATTTCAAATTCAAGGAAGCTTCTTTTTCTAACTATTAGGTGTTAAACATCAGGGAAAAAATAAAAAAATAAAAATAATAAAAAAACACAACAACTATTAGGTGTTACTCCTATTGAAGACTCCGCTCCACAATTATCATTACCATAGAAGACTCACCTAACTCTCGTGTATTGAATAACATATCCTATAGTAGACTTTCCCCCGTCTTAAGTTTAGTTACATGCATGAAATGAAATGTAGAACATCTTTATATGATTACCTTTTTGTGGCTTGGGTGGCAATAAGAAAAGGCTACTAATTAATTAACTAGGTCCTTTACTCGCATAAAGAAACCACCAAAAAAAAAAAACTAGTTCTTCCGCATGGTAACTTCAACAAATCTTTTTTAACTAATTTCCGTGCAATGCAAAATTACATGATTTACTACAAAAAAAGAAAAAAAAGAAAAAAAATTACAAGGGAGACATTCAACAAATCATCAATAAATGTCAGGGGTGCTTAATCTAAAATGAATAGAATTTTTTTTTTTACTTATTCTATCTTAAAATAAATGTTATCTTTAAACTTTAAATATGCCTCAAATTAGTTATCATTTTTTTATTTTTTATATAGACAAATATTTCTTTCCTTGTTTAATCCTATCATTATATATCTATTTATTTTAAATAATTATAATAACACAAAAAGTAT